TAAGAAATAAGGGATTAGGATATAGTACTATTATGTCGGGTTTAAGCTTAAGTGAACTACTACACCCCATTGCTTATGTGGATCTTAGTTACGTTTCTCTCGAATACTCCAAGCATTAATGACTAAGTTTCTCTCAAACACCTAGCCTTTATCTAAGTAATGGACACTCTCATGTCTCCTACAAACTTAGAAGATGAAGCCTTCATAAGCAAAACAAGTAAATGCGAAAGATAAACTTTTATCTACCATTAAAACAAAATCACGCATCCAAAAAATCAACCCCACCAAATAAGGTTAGTTCATGGTGGGGCTGAAATATTCCATAAAATAAAACATGAAAATCGTTCATTCCAAACAACCCAACTAAAATAAATAAAAGAAAACAACAAAGGGATAGAGGAAAATGCCTTCAACGAGTGCTACCAGAGCTCCCCTTGACCACCACGAACCTCTTTAGCTCACTAGCTCCTCTCAGACACATAGTTTGCCACTCCCTTGAGCTTCACCAATGTATGAACACCCAAAAAATAGAGGAAGAAAACTGGTGGAGAAGAAGATGATTTTTATCACTTGGTAACCTCCCTTTCTCTCTCTCGTGTGGTGTCCTTTTATAATAAAAATATCTAAGGGTATTCTTGGGAATTTTGCACTCAAAATACCCATCATATCCCCAAATGTATTCCTTGGGCATAAAGCTTATCTCAAAAGGTGGCAGGGGACCCCCTTCAGGCGGTTACAAGCAGTAGACACGTGCTTTAACAGTTGTTCTTTTGTGAAAATATCATTGTCTTTTTCTGTGCCAGAAATGTCAAGGCATTTCAACCTGCTTCAGCAATGTGTGATGTCACGGCATTCCTTCCTAGCTCACCCTTTTTTTTCATTATTTTTTGTACATCACTAAAAACAACACCTTCCTCCTCATACAACACCATAATAAAATAAAATAACACAACCCCGACAAATACAATTATATGCATCTACATACGTCTAAAATGACCTATATGAATCCTTAAACAAACAATAACTTAAGTGAAAAAGGCCTTAAAAATACCCTTTTTACGGAGTTATGAATCACACACTGAATAAGGGAATAACTTTAGCTTCAGAACATGTTCATGCACCCCTTGTTGTCTAAAGAAATCACAAACTTCAAAGAAAGCACAGATATGTTACCTCTTATCTTCGCGGGGCGAACCACCAAATTTCCTATCTAGTTTAACATGTTGAAAACACTAGTTTAAGCTTAAAGTGGGCTGCCTGAATCTTGAGAACACAATACCAAGTTTTAAATCATCCAAGATAGGCGCTACGTGGTCTCGAATAGCACATGGAGTGCAATATTTCTTCCATTGAGATTCCCTACAACATTTGGATATTTAGGATCCTCAACTTGTTCACCTCATTGGATCTGCATTCTATACATGTTTTCTTGAGCACGTCTTCTTTGACAAAATAATCGTTCAATCTCATATTCAATTAGTAGTATTGATCCTTTGGGTCTTTTTCGAGTCATACAACAACAAAACCTAAAAAAATTAACAAAATTAACAAGTAAAACTATACAAAAATAAAGAAATAAAATAATGCTATAACTAAACTTTAAATCTCCAATTGCCAATCCCTGACAATGGTGCCAAAAACTTGTTAAGTGTTTAATGTACTATGCTATGGTACGTAAAAATGTGCAAGTATACACAGTCAAACAAGTAATATAGAAGTTAGTGAGTATCGTCTCCACAGGGATTGATGGGACATAAAGTGAAGCTATAACAAAAGGTTGTCACTAAGTAAATATATAATGGTATGGACAAGTGATTAAGAATGTTGTGGCAAAATGATATGTGTAAGAGTGTGAGTGTGGAAATGCTATGGTAAAAGGTAAAATAATGTTGTGGCAATTAAAGGAAGAATGCTATAACAAAATAAAATTGAACTCTGGAGAATGAGATAACACTTAATAACCTCACACAATCAACCTTTTATAGGGGTAAATGGTTGGGTTTGCTACGGTAATTAATATTTTGTTTCTAAAATGTTCTATGTATTCTATGAGTATGCTACTTGAAAAAATTTGCTACTAGTGCTTATAATCTATCTCTAGTAAGGAAACCAATAGAAAAATGCTACGGTAATGCCTCTCAATATGAACATAGCACAATCATATCGATTACGTCCTACCAATCTTAGTCAATGAAACCCTCTCCTTATCCATAAGGTGGATTAAAACCTCACCATCTCGATTTAGTTCCATTGCTTACATCGATCTAGCTTAACTTTCTCGATATTAAGCATCTATACTTAGAAAATGGATAACTCTCGAAAGCTCTTGCAAGTCTAAGAATTAAAGTATAAAAAATGTGTAAAACAACATTTAAACATAAAAACAATTCAACCTTTCATTAATACAAAATAAAAATCATTCGAAGCAAAACCGCATCAAATAAGCTAGCGCATAGTCAGGCTAAGTTGAACCATCATCATCGTTTAGTATAAACCCATTTAAAATATTGAAATGAAAGAAAAAGGAAGAAGAAGAATCCCAACATGATTTACTACCATGACTTATAACAATTGTCTTGAATCGACTTAGCATGCTAGCATCTCTCCAGGTCTTAGCTTGCTACCTTTTGAAAGCTTGGCTATGCAGGACACCACGAAAAGTAGGGAAAATAAAGAAAAATAGAGGTTATGTGAGTTACTACCTCTTTTCCCTTGCTTAGGTCACTTTCCGAAAAGCTCTCTTAAATGTAAGGTATCCTTCACTATTTATACTAGGGAATTTCCTAGGGTTCTTGGCCTAAAATTCCCTTTCTGCCCTATGATTCATTCTATTCACGTGAAGAATATAGCAGTATAGCAAATGGTCCCCAAAATAACAGCATGGTATGGCATTCACGTGTGACTGTACAACAAGGCAACTTGATATTTTTGCTATTTTATCCTTTTATGCTCCCATAATTGTTTTCCAAAAATATTGTAGCATCTCGATCAACTCCATCATTCCTTTAGATCGAGTTATCCAGAATGCTATAGAAAATCTTTACTCCTCTTGTGCTTTATTCACCTGCACAACACCACAAACACAATACCTTTCTCTTCAGCAACATCAGTTTTAGCAATAAAAATATGTTGTAGCAAAACATTTCACCACATGCAACTATATGACCTAAATGCAACTAAATGCTATGACATGGTCTTTTAAACAACCAATAAAAAGGCACAAAATATAATCTTTTTACAGGGTTATCAATTAACATAGGTCAAATCATGCTATTTAGCAAGGATGGCATCGATACTCAATAAGATAGTATCAATAATACTCATTTGGTAAATACAAATCGGTGATTTTTGACAATTTTAAAACTTAATTTAATATTGATACTCAAAAGAGTATTGGTATTCTTTAAAGTAGTGTCAATATTACATTTATGATATTGATTTTATGGATAATTTTGGTGGACTCTGGGGTTATCTTTGGTAACTATACTTATGGAGAGTATTGATATCCATGTATAAATAATGATACCATCAATAATGATTGATTAGGTAAGAGTTTAAGTTGCAAGTGATTGAATAATGATGTGAGACTCGAGTGACGACCTTATAAACAATGTAATTAATTAGTAATGGAAGTATTAATGATACTTAAATAATAATACAAATAACCAATAGTGAGATGGTTAATGATGTACCATTTGACATATATCTCTAAAGTGAAAGTTTAATCACAAAGACTTGGTAATAATAGTGTGATGATAATGTTAATTGTGTGATAATGATCATATGAATCTTATGCGATAGGACTTCATAAGATGTATATATTTGTCTAACACTTGGGAAATGGCGAGAACACTTGAGTTAATTGTGTATGATGATTATTAGTTATATTTGATGGATGTATTTGATTGATTATCCAGATATCCTAAGAGTCGTGTCAAAACACTAAAAGTATACTTGTCGGATGCAGCTCTAACGCTCTTGTTACCTATACTGTAGAAGAGTAGGCTAGTCTAGTGTACATTTATGATGCAGAAGTGACCTAGGTCTCATTTGATATATTGGCCATTTAGATCCGCTAGATGTACGTTCCTAACACGAGTGTGACTCGAGTTTCATCCAAGAAGCCTATGTAAGTGGGAAAGATGGATGTGAGTCTTGAGACGCACGCGAGACCCTAGACTACACCATGATATATGTTTGTATGTTGTTGATGAGCGTTCGAACTTCGTGACTGTTCGAACTTCGTGACCCGAGCCTCGTCCTTGATTTTGGTATTGTGTGTTATGTGAGGGTGTTTCAGCTCTGTGACCTGAGCCTTATCCTTGACATAAATTATGATTTTAGATATGTACTGGATAGCATTTCTCTCACTTTACTTGTCAGATACTTATTTTATGAATGCATTTAGTATAAGTAGAGTAATTGTGTGATAATGAGCATGTGAGCTCAATGTTCAAAATATGTGTCAATTAGCATATTACATGTTATGTGGAGTACGATGAGATAACAACATCATTAGAAGAATCTCAACAGAGCATCAGAGTACAATGATAACGACTTGTTGGGCCTGTAGAGGTTATGGTTTAAAAATTGATAAGTTGTAATATTTTAATATATGAATTTATGTATTGGACTTTTAAATTGGATTTCGGTTTTGTAAACTGTTATCTTTTTATGCTTTATTAAATTATTTTAAAAATTGAGTATGATTTAAAAAAAAATTAGTCATTTGGTGATTCCGTCTCTTACCATTTTTTATTATTTTTTGTATTAGTCTTATGTGAATAAAATATATTATATGTTCAAAGACTCTCAATCATGTTACAATGAACGCTCATACACTATGAGTACACGGTGCTCAAACCCAAAATCTCAAAGGATAATAACAAATCTCTTAATTATTCAAATTGTTTGATTCGTGCACATTTTTTATTATTTGACATGTTTGTTTCATGTTTATGCGTGATTTTTTTAATTCAAATAAAAATATGAACTAATTAGAAATAAACGTAAAAATAAACATAAAAACATTATTCATACGTTCATACTTGGATCATTTACGACCCTAATTAAAATGAAAGTACAACAATAGTTTTCCGTCACCTAAATACATAGATTACATTAACAAATGAGCTCATCATAGAGATCAACCTCTCGACCATTCAATGGCTGACACGGCCTTGCGTTTCTCTTGCAATCTGCGTTCAACGGGCTATCCATTGCGGCTATCTGCTCTTTCGAAATGGACATCACCTGCAATTTTTTAAATTTTAATCTTACCCATTTTTTTGTGTAATCTAAAATACCTTTTTTTTGTTATCAAAGCTGCCAAAAAGACCATACCTTTCCCAGGATGCTCCAGTGGACATCCTCCATGCATGGGGGAGTTGTAAGTGAACCAACATATCTGTAATACTTTCGACTTCTTCTACTCAGTTCGTTTATGTTCATATTACCAAGAGGAACTTCTGAGTTTTCCTTTCCCAATTTATTTAATCCTCCCATCAGCTGAAATCATACATTACAAATTATAATCAACATCATTTCTTTCATTCTTTTTTAATGTGATGGGTTATGTTATATGTATTCGAAAAGTCATTGATCGGATGGGTTTTGAGTTGATTCGAATTTTTTATGGTTATATTATGAAGAACTGTCTTACCCTGCAGATAAATGGATCGGCAGCATTGGCTTCTTGGTAGAGCACTGCTACAACAGCAGTGCTGTTATCCGGTGCTCGATGGACCATATGGAGCTCAGCAGCAAATCTGTATGTTTAAAGGGTTAAAAAATACTCGAGGCTTATAATCAAATTGGACCGACCAAATCACACAATTTTTACAGAGAGAAATAGAAAGCTTACTGTTGTCCATCAATGCGGTGCTCTGAAGGTAAATGCCAGTGTACTTGCTTGAGTGCGTAGCTTTTGCCATCAATCCATAACTGTCCAGCATCTTCTTCGAAACGCACCCCAACGCTGAAGCCCTTGTTAACGAGTGTAGCGTTTGCAGGTTTGTACCGTCTGGCTAATGGTTTCAATTGCTTGTTGTGGACAGTCATATTCCTCTGAATGTTTATCGGAGACTGTATTCTCCCTGATGAACATGGTGTGAATGTTGGATCCAATTTCCCCCAGTTGTTTGGGCCATCGATGCCTGAATAACTGAACTCCATTTCTCTATAAACTAACTCAAAAACAAATTAAAAAAATATCATCAACTATGCATATTTCATATTGCATATGATATATATATTGCAGCAAAACATGATAATTGTCATACAATCAATGGCAGAAGCAATGCCAACGAGCAAACTAAGAGCGAAGACGACCGAGGAGACTCGAGGGGCCATTAATGACATGATCCAAATCTCGAACTACGAAGAATACACCTTGAGAAAACAGAAGAGAAACTTATATAATTATCATATATTTAGATTCGGTTTAGAGTTTTAGTTTTAGAGAACCTTACAATGGTATGTCGTTGTCTATTTATAAATGTAGGTAGTAGTAATATGGGGATATCATTAAGGGTATTTGTTAATCGGTTTTAATCGGATTAATCAACCAAACTGAAATTTAGTTCGATTAATTAGATGCTAAATCAATTAATCATTAAAAACTTTTCAAAGTTAGATTAAAAAAATGATTAATTCAATTTTAATTAATTCAATTCGGTTGGTGACCGAATTAATCATTTAAACCCCTTAGATAACAAGTTGTGTTAAAGTAAAGAAACGAAGTCAAAGCTTTACTATAGCTTGGTTGAATCTTGTCGTCGTCGTTCTTTTTAGCAGAGCTAAGCCTGCAAACATTGGCGAATAGTGGTAGAATGTTTTAATTATATATATATATGGAGATAAAGAAATAGAAGTTTGATTAATTCTAAGAGTCGTTGTCGCATGGAATATGTTCACGGGACTCACTGCCGAATCAGATTATGAATTGGAGTTAATCCTACACGGCTACTGAATTTCTTAGCTAACTCTGAATATTAGCTGAACAAGGTTGGACCTTGTTTCCTTTGTTTATAAACTATTCCTACACAATTCCAACGTATAAAACCTTCTTTCTTTTGTGATTGTAACAAATAAAAGTACAAAAAAAGGAATAGGTCAGGAGTGAAGAAGATGTATTAGGCATTCCATTTCCAACCATAGGTTTTGGAAGAAAATTCCCACTGTTGAGTTTGTGCAGGCAGGCTGACCTGTCCTCAAATCCATTCTGATTATTTTAGTGGAGGAAGGCAAATAGTATCCTTTGTTTCTTGTAAACCATTTTTATCTTTTTCAAGCAACTTTAGCGTTATTGTTAGGATGGCAATTTAACCCAAAACGGATAGGTTTCGATCCGGCTCGATTTGAGAAGATCAGATTTTTTTTTAAATGGTTTTAGGTCGGGTCGGGTCTGTTTCAGGTGGGGTGAAAAAAATCCAATTCAACCCTATCCAAGGATAATAATGTAATTTCTTTAAAAAATTATTATTTTTAATTAAATCTTTATTTTATACGGGGTCAGATCGGGTCAAATTTATATTCTAAAAATTCGAGTCTACTCGGAGTCAGACGGATGATATATATTTTTCGTGTCGGGTTAGATGGAGAATATATAATTTTCATTTGAATTGGGTTCAGATAGAGGATACCGTTGTCATCCCTGATTATTAATAGTAGTGATGAATCTATAATTTTTAAGGTGAATATATATATTAGTAATAACTTTTTTATATAGATTTGATATCGATAAAATTTTAAAATAGACATAATCAATAAATTAAACTAACATACAAAATTTTTAAATCTCAAGAGGAGATATACTCTATAATATTGTAGGTTAAAATGAAGTAAACATATTATAAGAAAATAAAGTAAATTAAAAATGTTACTCTAAAAGTTATTAGTTTAATATCAATTATAACTTTACAAATATTTTCATTAAAATAATACTTTATAAAAATAATATTAAACAAAGTGTAATCACTCCGATTAACACCACCACATTTATTCATTAAATATTTTTATTTCAATTTTGTAGAAAAAAATACTTTATTATTTTTACTCTACAACCTACTTTTAATTTGGTTATTTTAGGGACTTGTCCACTTCTTTTTTAGGACGAAAGTGGTCAACCCTTTCGAACCAAGCTAGCATTTGCTTTAAATCAAATGCGAGTGTATGCCTTATTTCCGATATATTTTTAACTTTTATAAGGCTTGGCATTCAAATATTTCAAAAAAAAAGTTATTTTAATTTTTAAAATAAAATTCTTAAAAGTTTAAAATTTTCATTATATTAATCAATTAAAAAAAATAACTAAGTATATATGCATTAGACATCAAGATGGAACACGGACAAACGAAAGCAGTTGTCTTTAAAAATTTCAAATTAATATATATTTTAGATATTTTGTATTTTCAATTGATCTAATGTTCCCTGAAATTTTATAATTTCGTCTCCTCTTAACATTTTAGATGTTCTTCCCCTAGTATAAGATTATGTGTTCATCTCTGATGTTGAATTGGGGACAGACACAAGATTTTATAATAGGGGAAAAATTCTCAAATTTTAGGAGACAAATTTTAAAAAATTTAGGGGGAACAAAAATAAATTATCAATATAAAATATATAAAAATCTAAAATATATAATAATATTGAGTAAGTACAATTAGTCGGTTGGCCAAGATGTTCATCTTTATTTCCTCATATTCCCTTATATTATATATTCTAAACTCACTTAATTTTCCTTCCTGCCCTTCAAGTAAGATTAGATTTAAAATTTATTGAAAGTAACAATAATTTTAAATTTAAAGTGGACAACTGCCCGCAATCGCCCTTTAGTCTATACATGATCGACATCAAACTCAATTGCTTTCAAAATAAAATAAATTAAGAATGCAAAAATTTATGGAGGTGAGAAGTTGATAGTAGCTGTGGCCATAGGGCACAAGAGCACTTCCCAGCCGACCAAATTAGAGCATCAAAACTACAAGGCGTAGAAATCAGAAAAAGAAAGGCACTATTGAAAATGGGAAAGGTATGGGCTAAATTTAAAGTTATATTCCATCAAACCCTGCACTCAATCATCTACTAGTTTCCAAGTCAAATATCACCTTCCCCTGGTATATACTGCGTATATTTCCATAGTGGCCCTAATCCACCATTCGACAGTTTTGGTGATGAATTTAGTTATGGTACCCACCAATGCACCATTTAGGTCAAAGAATTTAATTTTATCTCAATATTTTATTCATGCCAACCAGCTCATATACAATATTTTTTTTTAACTTATAAAATTGGACACCCTGACCCATTTAAATAAATATGCATTACTAACTCATAGACTCTAGTATGTAACTTGGGAGTATTTGAATAGAGGCCCAACCACACCTCTAGTTTTACTTAGTTTTGTTTTGGGATAATATCATATTTGGTATCTATACTTCGATAAAATAACTGATGTAATCTGATACATGTACTTGATAAAATATCTAATACAGTATTTATATTTTAAGAAAAAATTTAATATGATATTTATATTTTGAGGAAATGTTCGATGTAATACTTTTACTTTGATCAAATATCAATATGCATTTAATGAGATTTTTCTAAAGTGTCTAATTTATATTGACTGATTTAAGTATTTAGCACGATCCAAGTGACATCCGTAGTAAATAAATTGTTTATATTATTTGAGAACTCGTGTTCAAACACGAGAGGTATGAGTATTCAATGTCAAACGGTTGATAGTTATCTTTGAATAGATATTGCCTTATACTTATCCCAAATTAATAAAAAAATTAAGCAAGTTCGGGTGTTATAATAAACATTTCGTAAAACTATAATTCTAATATTAGACAATATCACATTAAATATCATGTCAAAGTATAAGTACCGTATTAAAGATTTTATCAAAACACATATACTAATATTATCCTTTCATTTTTTATAAAACTTTACCTAAACTGATACATGTGATTTGTGAAGATTAAATTTCTTAATCTGCAATATCCGGGGTATTTGTGCGCCATATATAAGTAACTACAAGATTAATTAGAAGACATTACAAAAGACAAACAACATCATGCTGTTATATAGAAGCAGCCCAAAAACAAATTGTCAAATTTGAGATTTCACTTGTGCCATATGGATTAATTAGGCAACTCTAACAATATATATACATATAGGAGACAGCAACAAAAAAAAATGTCAAATTTGAAATTTCACTTGTGCCATATGTATTAGTTAGGCAACTCTAACAATATATAGAGAGAGAGCCAAATTAAATGTCAAATTTGAGATCTCATTGTGCCATATGGATTAATCAGGCAACTCTAATAATATATATGGTAAACAATGTTATTATATCAGTAACTATAGGATTTACACGAAAGCTTGGCTCGTGATATTAAAGGAAATATCGTATGAAACAATGGCATTTAGTAGGGGGGGGGGAGAAAATAATCAAATGAAAATGAAAATTTATAATTCTTATTGAGTGACTTTAGTGGTAAAAAGGAATAACATTCTTTCTTGAGAATTCGTATTCGAACAATAGCATTTGTAAAATATGTGTTGCTAGTGACTAAATTTTTTTTTAAACATATACTATCTTGTAATGCTTTATATTATTTTTTTAAAGTGATAATGATTCATACTGTAAAAAAAATGAAAATGAAAATCTATAATTATAACATTAATGTGCATACAAATATCATATATAGAAATGTTAAACGGCCGGTTTTGAATGAATTTTGGTTTTCTTAAATCTTTTGTCCTGTATTCAAATTTGTTTGTAGAAAATTTATTTTAAAATATATGAAAACTTTTTATTTTAGCAATGGACATATTATATCCAAGTTTTCTAATCTGAATGTGTAATTAAATGCGGTGGACCAGATTCTATTTACAGGACCACAAACCATTAAAGCCTCCATGAAAGGTGAGAATTTAATTGTGTGGAATTTGATAGGGACGAATGACACTGAGATGGCCACACTTAGAATTATTTGATATCTGTACCGTATCCATCTAAATTATTATATTTATACGACAGTCATCTTTAAATAACATAAATAGCTTGTTGTTTGTTGGACCATTTATGAACAATAGTGAGATTAAGAAGGAAATAAGAAAAGAAAAATAAAAGAAATAATGGCATTGATGAATTGATTGAAATTGATAATTGACATGGGTATGAATTCAAGATAAAAACCAAAAATATAATAGAATTTATAAAATATTTATGGAATCTCAATTAAGATTATACATAAAAAAAATAAAACGAAAGATGATAATAGAAATTTTCCAAAAGCTAGCAAGAGAATTTGAGTTCCACTTTAGAAGAGGAAGCATGTTTTCTTTTCATATTTTTCTCCCTATGGATATTTTCTGTTAGAGGAGTATTTATATTTGTAGTAAAGAGAAAATGTAGATCTTGACGCTCTA